GCATATGAATCGAGAGATTATTCGGCATCGAACTTTTAGTGGAGTTGTGCGATGTGGGAATTAAATATGTCGATAACTTATCGGGATAAGTTAGTCGAGTATTGTAATTCCATAGCTTTGTTCATGTGGGTCCATTCGGTCTCAAGGCTAGCTCTAATAAGTGGGAAAATAGAAACTGATATTTTGTTGTATAATTATGTTTAAAAATTCATTGTGTTATTTTTCATTTATTTGATAATTGAAAAATAAAAGGAATGAATTTGAATTTTGAAATTAATAGTGATTAATTTAAAATTCAAAATAAAATTTAAACATGATTTTATTTGGCAACTAAAGGAGAGAGAAAGTTGATTTTATTTTGGAAAATTAGGAAATCCGTAGCCATATGGGAATTTCAGGTTTTGATCCAAGAGAGAAGGGGAAATTCGAAAATCCCATCTAGGGTTTGAGTTTTTGAATTTCCTCCTATAAAAGGATTTTATTGAAAACCCTAGCTATGAGTTTTTAAGAGAAGAAAAAATCTCACACTTTTCTCTCCTAAGGGTGGCCGAAATTTTGAGACAAAATAGAAGGAAAAATTGTTTCCTTAGGTTTTTGAAAAGAGCCCACTCTCTCATCCCAAAACACTTAGAGTCATAGTCTTGAATCAACGAGTGGTTTTTGGTGTGATCGTATCGATAGATCAACGATCTTGTTTCATGGCAATTCTCCATCTCGGAACGTGAGATAGTGAGACAAGATCCTTGCGGTCATATTTGATTCAATCGTCACAAAGGTATGATTGTCATTTTATTCCTTTGTCTATAAACATATATCATGCATGTATCTCTCGTTGTGGTTTACATTTAATTTGGAATTAAATAGATATGTTAAAATTTTTTGAAATTCCGCCTACAAGTTTGTTGTTGTTCAAATGATTTTTCATTAAAAAATCACAACTAGATCCTACATGTAATGCATAAGTCATGGTTCTACGAGTTCTCAACTACAACAATATGATTGTGGGATGAGATAAGTTACCTGAATCAGTTCATTTTGTACTTGCTGATCATATTGAATGTTTCTTATATTGTGAATCGTGTTGTAATACACAGCACATAGATGTCGCATTCTATTATTTGAGAAAGAAGCACAAGCACTACCCCGAAATTGCATACAAGTGCTTCACTACTACCGATAATCTATTTGACTCCACAATCAATCCTGCATGGCCACGGTTGAAGAGTGAAGAAGCCAAATATGACTGGACAAAGGTGCAAAATATTAGTAAGCACATATTTGGTGGTATGATTCACTGTAGTTGGTCATGGTTTGAGGTCGATATGGTATTAATTCCAATGAATATACCGAGATTGAAACATTGGATTCTTTCACTCCTCGACCTCAATAATTAGACCATCAATGTGTAGGACTCGATGGCATCTATAGGAACACACAATGAGCTCCTCATGAATGAAGTGGAATGTGTGTCCAATATGTTGCCATTTATCTGCGATCAAGTCGGGTTGTTTGACTCTAAGCCCCGAACTGGCAATAAATTGGATCCAATTCCAGTTATCATCATGGATTGTCGACGTCAAAACAACGCGTTAGTCATTTCTTTTCTTTGTAATGATATTGTTTTTTTTTTCTTTTTGTAATGTTATGTGACTGTACGCTTCATAGGACTAACGTAAGTCTATATTGATCTCTACCTGCTTTTTTGTAGTGGGAACTGCGGCATGTTCACCATTATCTATGCACATTGCTTGGTGGAAGGCAAAGCACTAGATAATTAGGCTACACAGGAACGCATGCCATTCTACCGTGAGTCCTTGACATGTCACCTGTGGCACCATGCATTATGGAAAGAAAAAGAGGAATGTGAAAGTGATATTGAAAAAGACGATACATGGGATGCTTAGCCTAACTTGATTTTTTGAAAAGAAGGCTATGAAAGTGAGGCTTTGACTTGATTTTTTGAAATGTATAGCCTCATATGATTCTTTGTAATGTAGAAATAAATCAAATTAATGTCTTATTACAAGATACAACATGTAAGTTTAATTAAACGAAACACACATAAAAGAGTCACTATATTCATGTTGAGCTTGTTGATGAGCCTAGGGGGAGTGGCACTGGATTCGTGTAGGTTTTACGGTTGTGTCCATAAGAATGACATCTACCGCACTTGATTGTACTGTACTTGATGAAGACGTTCAATCTAGCAGCCATTCCTAAATAATTTCAAAAACAATAACTGTTAATCAACATGCAATTTACTCCTAGTCGTCATTGAGTCATTAGAAATGGCCAGTTATAACACTGTGTAATGGTCGGTCATACTGTGTCGGTCATAACACTATGAATGCCTTATGGCCGGTCATAGTATTATGATCGGACGGTCATAATACTATTACCGGACATAAGGCAATCATAGTGTGCCAGTCATAACACTATGGGTCATTGCAATAGTCAGCCATAATATTATGACCATCTGCTTATATCACTATGACTGCCTTATGGCCGGTCATAATACTATGACCGTACTATGACCGGCCATTTTGACTCATACTGTTATGACTGACCGGTCATAGTATTATGACCGGACATATAACACTATGAGTCATAATACTTTGACTCCCAAGGTCAACTATGTTTTTGACGTGTTGGTCATTACAATCAGTTTACCTATCAATTATAAACCATTCAAAATCTCAAATTGATGAAGGATATTTTCAATTTCTATCACATTAAGTTAAACCCAGTCATTCTTTTCGAGTTCTATAATATACTAACAATTTGCAGTCTCTCGAAAAATAAATTTAAAAGGTCAAAAACAAAAGAAAAAAAAAATTGTGTACCAACCTCGACCTTGTACACAACCGGAGTATTGGCGACGAGGGAATGAGGGCGTAGGGAAGAGAGAGACCAAGTAGAGAGAGAGGCCAAACTTGAGAGAGAGAGAGAGAGAGAGAGAGAGAGAGAGAGAAAGAGAGAGAGAGAGAGAGCCGAAAATAGGGTGTAGAGAGAGAGAATGGGTGGGAGATTATTGGGAATCTCTTTGAGGTGTTTTTAAATGATAATTTTGACCTAAGTGGTACAGAAGTCATTTTACCCTCACACTGCAGACACGGCGATGCTGACTGTGAATGTACACAAAAGTAGTGCTAAAAATAATAATATTTTATTCAAGAATGCTATTATTGAAATTAACCCAATAATAATGATAGTATTTTTTGATTGGTTTGAGCATTTTCGTCCATGTGTTCGCAAAATGATTGGTTCATTACACTTCGAATTCTGCTTTGGATTCTATTTATTAACAAATGATGAAAAAGTAAGCAATTTTATCAAAATGTTGCATTTCTCATCTCGAACATCAATGCTTTTACTAGTCGACTTTAAAATAAGGACTCAAGCGCATTATTGCAAATCGGTGATTGAAATTAAAAACGTTTAGGACCCGTTTGTTTCATATACTCACTCAAATAATTGATTTTGTTATAATGTTTTCGTGAGAGATTGTGGGAAGAGAAACAAAGTTAAAAGAGAATGATATAGCCTATATAAATTAAATGGAGTAGCTTCAAAAGAATAAGAGAATCTATATTATATTATGCAGATTACATACTACACACAACAGAAATGAAAACTAAGCCTGTCAACCATATGCAGATTAACATTATAATAATAACGGATATTTGGTCAATACGATCATCGATCCACGAGAACGAGGAAAATTACAGAGTTGTTTCAAAGCAAACAAATGATAAATGGTATTAACATATCACAATCATCATTTTTGTCATCCATCAACTCAGACAACGTACAAGGAAAGCCATTGCTCGTTTGCTGCTATCGTCTGAAGCTCATAATATGGAACAACACTGATTGGTCTTTTTTGCCTGCTTGTAGAACATCTGATTCAAAAACAACCGCCATCAGATTCTTGTATTGGCAGAAACGTTAAGGTCTATAGTTTTTATTAAAATTTCAGACACCAACATAAGTGATAGACTGATACGATATTTAGTGGCAGCAGTAACTAACTTATACCATAATCCTTCCAACCCAATTACTTAAAAAACCCACTAGGAAGTGATACCGTTGTCTGCTTAGTATTCAAAATTAATGCTTGAGATAGACAAATATTTTTGTTAAGGATGTGAATTGTGACAACTTGTAAATGGAAGTGTACTAGATCTCAATCAACTAATATAATGTGCATGAGCCATTTAAAATGGAAGTACTAGATCTCAATCAGCCACAGAAAGCTTATATAACTGAATTATCTCATCTATACACGACAGTTGAAAGCTCAAAACCGCGTCTTATGGCAGAGATGGGGACAACTTGACGAGATCCAACTATTCTTACTACTTTCTACTTTCAAGAACCTCCAACAAACACGGTACTTAAATTCCAAATATTTTCAGCCACCAGAACCGCTTTCCATCTCATAATTGATTTACAAAACATAGGCTTCTAATCCTGATACGACAAAGTAATACAAAGAAGTTTTCTAGTCTGTATGACATCAAGATTTTACTAAAAATGTCTGGGATTAATATTTCAAACCTACTATGCAAGTAAGTGCTCATAACCGTGTGGCGTCAAATATGTGCAGAATAAGTACATAAGCTAGATACCTGTGATGCTGCACTAAGATCTGAACTCTTCTCAACCAAGCTGTCCAATTTCTCACCTCGTGCAAGCACGCTGTCAATAGTCTTATGCTGTAACAAAGAAAGAAACACGTATGAGCCAAGGGATAAATGTCTTTTCTCTTTTTGTTTTTTAATAAGAAAAAGAACTTTATATTGATATGAAATGAATATTTTTTTTTTATAAAAAAAGGACAAGGTACCCCAAGGAAAACAAAAACAAAGAAAAATTACAACGGATGAGAAAATGACAAAGAATAAAACAACTTAAGAACCAATTAGATCCTTTCCCAATCAATGATTATAATACATAGCAAAATGTTAGTTGACGAGATATGGAAAATCTTTCCAGAAACTGAATATGTTTCAAATTGGAAATTGGACCGCCAAAAATATAGAATGCTCAAGAAGCGCATGGTTTTACAAAAACCAACATAAAAAGGGTATAGAGCTTAGTAATATAGTTGAACATAAACTGATTCCGTATTTGTAAAACCTCTAAAGAACTGCAATTGTACTCACAAGGATAATTTTTGTTTCATCCAACTCCCTCTGTATTTTCATCAACTTATCAGCCTCAGCAGGGTCCTGAAAAATTTAAATGAGAGATGAAAGAAATATGGTATTAGTCATGTTAAATGTCGAGAGAGAGAAAGAGAGAGACAGAGAGAGAGAACTATTATCTAAAATATCTGAAGATGTTAAATGTAAAATGAAGTTAATGACAATGTGGACTTCTAGCTCCAGGTAAAGATTAGAATAACATAAAAGACGCACCTGAAATCTTGCTAGAGCATCATTCAAGTAAGGCCATGGTTGACTGCCATCTGCTTGTACAGACCTCCATGAATCACCAAAATTTTTCTGATACTCATCAAGCACCTGCAAACAATTTTCGTTTAGCAGAATCACATTTAAACAAACAAAAAAAACGTACAATCAAGTATCTGTCAAAAACACACCCTAATTCATGCAATACCTCGAACTCTCATTATGTTCAAACATGAAGCTTCGTCCTTTTAGCTAGGTCTAATATTCACTCATAAAAGTAAGCTCTTCTAGATATTCAAGTTAGCACCCTTTGAAAACTTAGGATTAAAACATTCATAAATTTATTTGACATAACCAAAAGGGCAATTCTAAATCACAGCACGTGATCAGATTAAGAACTCCCTCATCTGAACATAAGGAACTCAAACTCCTAAACATTGCATGTTTTGACAAGCAAATGAATAGTTGTTTGCATTGGCATTAAAGGAAATCCGTGAAATATCGCTGAATTACCTGGTTAAGCAGAGAAAATGCGCTGCGAACAGGGTAATGATCGTCCATAAAGCCCAACGCACAAAGCCCATTTCTGTTGTAAGCATGCACCTTATATTCTGTAAAGAAACAAACAAACAAACAAACAACGAAATTAGATTTTGAAAGTACCTTTTCAAAAAATTAGGGGTAAAAAATACAAACAACAAAAGAGATGAAAATTGCTAATTTCCAAAAAGATCCAGCTCGCGATGAAAACGTTCTGCTAAATAGGCTCGAACAGATAAGGTTGACAAAATCCCAAAGATCCAAATCCAAAATCAATTGCTATGTAATAAAATAACCTCCAAAATTCCGCGAAATTGGAACTCCCAAAACAAAAGATAATTGACAAACAAGCGCAAAATAAGTTGAAACCCTTCCAAAATTGATCGAATAATCATAATTCGCTTGAAATTTTAGAAATTTACGCTACTGCGAACGAAATTCAAGCTGATCAATCAAATAACCAAAAGAATCAAATCAGAGAATTTATTCCTATAAGAAAAAACCATAGCTCCATTGAAATTTCAAAACCTACCTACGCAACGCAATTGAGAAGCTGATCAATTAAATGACACCAAGCATCAAACCAAAGGAATCAATTCTCAAAAAGCAAAATAAATAAATAAATAAATAAATATTTACGAATTGAAAAACGCAGTGATCCATAAAAGAGGAACTATCACCTTCGTGTTGGACAGATTGACGCTGGCTGGGAGGTGTGCGTTTGGCGACAGTACGGCCGACGAAGACGATGAATTCCTTGACGCTGGACCTCTGGAAATACCCGAAGTGGCTCACATCGGAGGCGTTCACCAGAATGATCGGGTTGGATCCTTCCGGTTGGCACTTCAGGACGAGCAAAGCCGTGATCTTCATCTCTCTCTCTCTCGCGAACTTTCGCTTTCTCTCTCTAGAATTGTCTCTCTCTTTCCCCTTTGTCTGTTCAAAAAAATAATGGAAAAATTGATTTTACGCAAAGAGGAATCTGCGTATGTAATGTGTTGGAGACGGTGGTGGTGATGACGAAAAGGGGCAAAACATTCGGGTCGGGTCTAAAGAGGTGAGATCAGCTGCGTTACTGTATCCTGTTCTAATTTGGAATTGGTTTATCTGGCGGAGATTGGTTGAGCCGACATTTAGGCCCCGTTCACTTCGCTGATTCGAATTTAGAATTCGAGTTGAGATGTGATTTTATGTGAGAGCTTTTTACTGTAACAAAAAAGTTAGATGTGATTATTTGTGAGAGCTTTTTACTGTAGAAAAACTCGAATTCTAAACTCGAATCAGCGAAGTGAACGAGGCCTTATCATGTGTTCGCTGCCGCTAATACATGATTACTTTTAGACTTTTTATTTTTAATTTTAATATAATTAAAAAATTTTATAAAAAATTAATTTTAATTTTTTTATAGTTAAAAATTCTTATATTAAATCATAACTCAATTCAAATTAAAAAATTAAATTAATAAACTAAATTATTGACTATGGATGAGAGAATTATCATCAAGAACTAATAGTCAAATTCTCCTTATCCTTATAGCGCTAGTTTAATTCACGTGCGAAGGGAGTTCTTTATGGAAGTCGAGTAATATGTATTTTTAGGATATGATAAATATTTTTTTTAGCAAAATAAAAAGATTAAATATTTATCAATTTTCATCTTCTAATTATGTTTATTTTAAAAATAAAATATTTCATCAAGAATAGATATGAATAAAGTAATGACAAATAATAAATTAACGGCATTAGCAAAAAAATAATAAATTAACACTTGAATTGTAATTTATTTTATCATATGGTGTGGTGATTTTATGCATAAAAAATTTAAATAAATATTATATTTTTTATTTTAATATGGACAGATTAGAATAAAAAACAGTATATTCATGATACATATTTAAAAATACAAGATTTAAAGGGTTCGTAAAAAGAAAACTAAGTAAAAATAATATAATGTAGGTTAAAAAAAGTAGAGAACTACAATTAGAATGAAGCGAGGAAAAGTTAAATAGAAACGTTAAATAGAAACACGCATGAGATAAGAAATTAAAGAAAAGTTATTATATATAATATTATTCGTCAGAATAATATTTTAAAGGATTTGTTGATACCCAAAATTTTACAAGGTAACGGCCCGACCCAGATCTAATAAATACAACTCTAGGTATGGTATGTAGACCCAAGCCATATACTGTTTTTTATTCTAAAAATTATTCATAATCAGAAATCATCCCTCAAGCAAATGTCACAAGTTAAGCAATGGTGCTCCAATAATGATTCAACCAACTCAAAAGATCAATAAAAGTTTAAAAAACTATTTTTTTTAACTCTCTCAACTCACCAAAAATAAAAACCTTAAACTCGGGAATTTTTCTCAATTAGATGTGTTAACAACCATCTTACCACAAGATTTGGCATGTGCTAAAAAATAACTCTGGAAATCATTTCTTGGTAATTAAGATAGCAAAAACTAACTCAAACCGAACATTTTGAAATCATACCCAGATAATCTCACAAATATTTTGACCCAAAATAACAACAAGATAAAAATTAATCTCACGCATGAATATGCTCACCACCCCCAACCCAAGATCAGACAGTGTCCTCAATGTCTAAAAATATATGCAATATGAAAATGACAGGGAAGGAGAATACCTGGATGATGAACATTGAAACAAAGCCGAGCCTCCTGAACTGATTCTCCAAAACACACAAATAAATATAAAATCACACAAAAACAAACTGAAAATAAAAGCACACAAAACACACTAAACGAAACAAAGAGACAAAAATATGATACGAAAGTGTTGGAAGAAAACTTCTCAAGTTTGGTAAACTGGAGCCTCAAGAATAATCTCTTCAGCCTGGCTCACACGCTTAATGTAGTGCTTCAGTCTTTGACCATTGACTCGGAATACTCTCCCATCACTCGGGTCCTCAACCTCGACAGCACCGTTGGGAAAAACTTGTTTCACCACAAATGGACTAGTCCACCGCGACCTCAACTTACCAGGGTGGAGATGCAGACGAGAGTCATAGAGATGCACCTTCTGATTCGGCTCAAAGTTCTTTCTCAGGATCTGTTTATCATGTGCCGTTTTCATCTTTGCCTTGTAGATCCTGGAATTGTTGTAAGCATCATTTCTCAGCTCCTCAATTTCTGATAGTTACAGCTTGCGATTAATACCTGCTGAAATAAAATCGAAGTTAAGGACTTTGATAGCCCAATAAGCCTTATGTTCGAGCTCTACAGGTAAATGACAGGCTTTCCCAAAGACAAGCCTGTAGGGAGACATCCCGAGAGGGGACTTGTAAGCAGTACGGTATGCCCAAAGAGCGTCATTAAGACGTGAAGACCAATCCTTACGGTCGGGATTTACCGTCTTTTCCAGAATCTGTTTAATCTCCCTATTCGCTAACTCAGCTTGACCATTGGTTTGTGGATGATAGGCAGTCACAACCTTATGAATTACACCATATTTGCGCATGAGAGCTTCAAAAGATCAGTTGCAGAAATGAGTGCCTTGATAACTGATAATAGTATGCGGAGTACCAAACCTAGATAACACATTCTTTTTCAAGAACTTCACAACTGTCGCATTATCATTGGTTCGACATGGCACGGCTTTTACCCATTTGGAAACGTAATCCACAGCAAGGAGAATGTAGAGATAACCAGAAGAAAGGTGGAAAAGGTCCCATAAAATCTATCCCTCAACAATCGAATATCTCTATCACAAGAATTGGGTTCAAGGGTATCATATGGTGTCGGGATAAGGCACCTAACTTTTAACACCTCACACATGAACGATAAAACTCATTAGTATCCTTGAACAAAGTGGGCCAATAAAGACCACATTGTAAGATTTTTGCGGCAGTCTTCTTCACAGAGAAGTGACCACCACGGGCATCGTTATGACAAAAGTTCAAAACACTAAGAATCTCATCATCAGGAATGCAACGCCTCATGATTTGGTCAGGGCAGTACTTGAACATGTACGGATCATCCCAAAAGAAATTACGCACCTCGACCAGAAACTTGCGCTTATCTTGTGCACTCCAATCAGAAGGAAGTTCGCTGGTCACCAAGTAATTGACGATGTGAGCATACCAAGGCAGCTTAGTGACTGCGAAGAGATGTTCATTGGGGAAGTCATCTCAGATGGCAGGGGCATCAGTAGAGTCCTTAAAGTCCAATCGGGACAAATGATCTGCCACGACTTTCTTGTCCTTAATGGTTAACTCAAATTCCTGTAACAGAAGGATCCACTGAATTAATCGCGCCTTAGCATCCTTTTTGGAAAGGAGATACTTAAGGGCAGAATGATCTATGAAGACGGTAATGGGTGAACCGATCAAGTACACACGAAACTTGTCTAATGCGAACACTACAGCAAGTAACTCTTTCTCAGTGGTTGAATAATTCATTTGAGTGCTGTTAAGAGTTTGACTAGCGTAGTACACAACAAAAGGCTTCCCCTCCCTTCTTTGACCTAGGACAGCCCTAACAGCATGGTTGCTTGTGTCATACTGTTGGTTGCCGAATAGAATTCGGCGGCAGAAGCGTGGTAGGAAACAGCGGATCGTGTATAACAAAAATTTTCATAAAACTTTTGACATACTCTATAGATTATATTAATTTATGCACGAATAAATTAATCACATTAATTTACATGATTCAAGGATCAACCGAAAAAATACCTGGAAGCCGACTCGGATGATAACTTGAATTTCTTTGACCACGAACAGTCCTTGCTCCAAGCTTTGTGTTTAGAATACCAAAGTCTTCCACGTCAATTTCTTGATTCCACGTAGACATGTGTGTGGGCACACGTGAGACAAAACAGGTTTCTTAAACACTCGAATTTCCACAAATACCAACGCATGCACGATGCGGAATTTTTGGAGAAAAATATTTTGCTCTCTTTTTCCTCTATGAGAAATTTCGGCCACAACAATTAGGGCTGAATAATGTGTCAAAAATTGTATCCACAATTTTCTATCTTTCTCATATTTAAAGAGTAGAAGTCAAACTTCAAAATAGAATCAAATCCTTATCTCCAATTTTGAATTTGGAACAAAAATCCCTTCCCCTTATCCATAAGGTGGCCGGCCACACTCTAGGGTTTTATCCCTGTGTGTGGCGCCTATATCAGATAGGGAAGGAAGAGATTTTATCCTTTATCCAGTAGTCCAATTTTAATTCAAATTCAAATTCGAATTTAAGTCAAACTTAAATTAATTTGAATTCTAAATTGAACAACTTATCAAATAAGTTTAAATGGAAAAATCTAGATATGTTCAAATTCAAATTTAAATAATCACATTATTCAAATAATAATTAATTCTCAATTAATTATTTTTCGAGTATTTAATTTTAGAATTCCGTAATTCCAAAATTCCCATTTTGCCCTTTGTGTCTGGTAGAATTACAAGGACGACGCGGGGACATATGGACCTATAATCCCGAGCTCCAATAAAATTAATAATTAATTAAACACTTTAATTAATTAATTAATTCTATTAATTATAATAGTTACTCCACTATAAACTTGGAATTGAACTCTC